TCTATGTCCCCTGCCCACCCACTCCCCCCACCTAGCCTTATTTTTTCTTTTTCTTTTTAAATTTTTTATTACTTTTTTTTTTTGACTAGGCAATGGGGTTAAGTGACTTGCCCAAGGTCACATAGCTAGTGTCAAGTGTTTGAGGCTGGATTTGAACTCGGGTCCACCTGACTCAAAGGCCAGAGATCTATCCACTGTGCCACCTCGCTGCCCCTAGCCTTATTTTTTCTTGAGAAAAATAAAAAGTAAAATTCCCCAGCACAGAATATACCCCATATAAGAAAGAAGCCTGTGCTCCCAAAAGAGAGCAGAGTCCTAACTGGATTCTGAGCTTGAATTAACTGAAATCAGCCCTCCTCTTTCAGGCATAAAATCCACACAGTGGCACTAAGAAGGTGTGTATTCACACTTCAGTAGCAGGTACAAAGCCATGTAGGGACATGTGAAACCGCCATTGTTACAGCTGAGTCTATCCCACGTTCCTGCCCTGTGACTCTTTGCTTAGATCATTGTCCCTGGAGACATTTCTCAGCTCAGACCTGTACCAATCCCTCTCCAAATTCCACCCTCCCTGTCACCTGCACTTCTCCACTATGGACACCAGGAGTGATCACAGACAGAGCCTAGAGCCCGAGAAAAGCAAGAGCTGACCCTGGTGTACCCAAGGTGAATTGTTATAGTCAGATAGAGGAAGATCTTCCCGAAGTAAATGGGGAATATTTCTATGGCCAGGCTATGAGGCTTTTTTCAGATTAGGTCCCTGAGCAGGGTCACACAGTCAGGGAGTCAAACATTAGCAACTTGGCTCCTGCTCTAAGACAGTAAAGGTGGGGCAGCTAGGTGGTTCAGCAGATAGAGCATTGGCCCTGGAGCCAGGAGGACCTGAGTTCAAATCTGGCACTTACTAGCTGTGTGACCCTGGGCAAGTCATTTAAATCTATTGCTGAGAGAGAGGAGTATACAGGTAACCTCGTCCCCAACAGGTAACATGACTGTCCTCACCAACAGTCTCAGGTTGACAGCTTTCCCACATCACCTTCTCTTCTTCTCTTGCTTCTTGCCTAATCCCATCTTTTACCCTTTCCCCTCCGGCATCATTCCTCAGCCTTTCAGGACTCACTGCTGTTCATACTTCCTCTGCTGGCTGCCTCTTTCTCAAAATAGTCAACAGTCCCAACACACACACATCCTCAATTCAACAAGCCCTGTTCCCTTCTCCCTCTCACCCACCCACTCTTTCCCCTGTTTCCTCTTTTTTAATGAAAAGATGGATGAACGGTGTATTGTATGTGCCAGAAACTGGGCTAAGCAATGGGAATGCTTAAAATAAAAAGGAGATATTCCTTGCCTTCCTGGATCTTACATTTACAGTAGGGGAGAGCACACAGAAAAGGGAGTAGAGAAAATGGAGACCAGGGAAGGGAATTTGGGTCTGGGGAGTCACAGAGATAGCATTTACAATTGACACACCCTTTCCAGAAGCAATGGTGGTAGTGATTTGCTAACTATAGCCAGAGTAAGCAGTAAAAAGGGGAGTGGGAAAGCTGAAGGGTCCAGGTCTGGTGTGGAGAATGATGGTCTAGATGAAGAGGAGCAGGTCATTGGTAGTAGACCCATGGCAAGATGGCCTGAGAGGACATCTGGATGGCTGGATGGGATGTGAAGGTGTAGCAGAAGGGGCCAGCTAGTAGACACAATGGGCTAAGAAGGCTAGTTTTCATTCACCCAGTGATCAGTCAATTGGGCTGGGCCCTGGGCGGGTAGTGTAGCTGTCCAGCTCATAGAGTGCTAGACCCGAAAGTAGGAAGTTGTTCACTCATTTCAGTCATGTCTGACTCTTCGTCACCCCATTTGGGGGCAAAGATACTAAAGCGGTTTTCCATTTCCTTCTCCAGCTTATTTTATAGATAAAGAAACTGACGCAAACAGAGTGAAGTGACTTGCACAGGGTTCACACAGCTTGTAAGTATCTGAGGCCAGATTTGAACTCAGGAAGATGAGTCTTCTTGACTCCAGGCTCATCACTCTGTGCACTATGGCGCCACCTAGCTGCTCCCTGGAAGCAGGAAAACCTCAGTTCAAATCCTAAATCAGATACTTATTGACTGCATGACAGCAAGTCTGGGAAAGTCACTTAACCTGTCTGCCTCAGTTTTCACAGGTGTAAAATGGGGTGATAATAATAATAATAATAATAACAAAGTATAATATAAACACGAGCTATTAATATTTTTAGGATGGGAGCTCCTAAAATGAAAATATTAACTTCCTTCCCCAGGAACTAGGGGTATGAATTCTAGAGGTCCAGAAGGGAAATCCAAGTCTGGAGGTCCATCAGCATAGGGGATACCATAGAAAGTGCCCTGGATTGAAGAAATCTGGATTTTCTCATTCTAGTTGTGCCAATAACTCACTATGAGAATTTGGGTAAGGTATTTCCCTTCGGATGGCTTCCTCCTTTGTAGAAGGAAAGGTTTACACCAGGAATGAAAGTCTATTCTAGCTCTGACCTTCTTTGTTCTAAGACTCTGACATTTTCTTCATTGACCATAAAACACTTTGACATTTGAAATATATTAATGGAATCTCTAAATGCTGATCCTGGAAGAAGCCTGGAATGCTTACTTCAATATGCGGATGGTTTCATGATTTTACTGGTATGGGCAAGAGCAGACATTAACATCAGGCCAATGGGGCTTTGTCCCATGATGCCAAATCCTGCTGGGGCACTATTCCTTTCCAAAGCAATTATTATTCTCATGCTTGATTCTTTGCTGGCTCCTGCTATATTGGGGAACTGTGCATAACCACTGCCTCTAGTGTCCTGTCACTGGGGTACCCCTTTCCCAGATTCTCTCTTCTTAGTTTTTTCAAGTTGCCCCTCTATTGGCCAACTCCACCTGCATTTTTACTGTCCTCTTCACCAGCACTGCCACCCTACCCACAAACTGTTTGTGCCCTAGGTTTAAAAAAATGTCTAATTACAGCTGTAGGTGAGCACCAGTGCATTTGTGATCATTCATTACTTCCCATCTACAACTTGTATTCTGGTACTAGTCATTCATGCTTTCATTTCCCTCCCGGCTGTGCTTCTGACTTTACAGACTTAACCGCTATGACTCAGCTATCCTCTCACCCTGAAACTACCCTCAGCACCTATTACTTTCTCTTCAATATCTCTCCACCTGCTTGTCTCCTTTTCCCATTGGTGAATTTCTTTTGGGATCTTTTTTTTAGGGATGGGCTCAGTTTCCACGTTTCATTTCCCTCCTTGCTGAGCTTCTAACTATAGACTTTGCCACCATGCTCTGGCAGTGGGTACCCATCATTTTACACCCCCTCACCCACTTAACACCCTTTTACGGTTTGTCTTCCCTCATTAGAATGTAAGCTCCTTGAGGGCAGGGACTATTTTTTTTTTGCTTGTATTTGTATCTCTAGTGCTTAGCACAGTGCCTGACATATAGTAAGTGCTTGATAGATGCCTCTCACCTATCTATCTACCTATTCATGTCTTCGTCTTCTTGTCAGTCCTTCCCAGAGAACCAACCTACCCAGCAGCCTGGAATGAAGAAAAATTGTGGAAATTCTGGAGCAAAACTCAGCCTATTTTCATATTGAAAAGTCTATATGTAATAATTATTTTTGACATGTATAATTTTCTTTTTTACTACCTTAGGGAGAAAGCCAACTCTAGCATGAAAGACATTCTCCTGGAATCCTTCTTCACACGGCAGAGAACACCATGGTCCCATGGGACACAGCGTGGGAAACGATGATCTAATATACTCTTCTCCTTCTGCAGATGAGGAAACTGAGGCTAAACAATTCACCCAAGTTGATCCCACTAATTAGTAGCAGAACTGGGAAGAGAGCTGAGATACCTTGATGCCCATTTTGGCAGTCTTTCCACTTCTACTTGTCAACTTTTTCAGAGAATTAGAGTAAGGAGGGCTAAATTTAGAATCAGGTGAAGTCTTGGTTCAAATAAAGTCGAGGTCACTCAGTCTCTCTGACTCTCTATTTCCTCATCTGCAAAATGGGAACAATAATGCTTGCCACATAGTGTTTTTGTAGAGAAAGGGCTTTATCCTCAATTCAATTCAGCTCAAAGAATATGTTCCAGAGAGGCTCCAATGTGCAAGGCTTTATTAAGACCCCAAGGATACATACATAACCTGTAACCCACCCTCAAGTCTCTGGCCTCCCTCACAAAGACAGGGTCCCATACTGGGGCCTTGACCCCCAAAGGGTTATTTTCTCTTTTTGACTCATTTCCTTTCCCCACCCCCAGCTTAACTCTGGGGCAAATCTCCAAAATAAAGCTGAGGTATAGCTCATATCTAGGTTTCCCCAAATGTGGGTAACAGGGCCCTGTGCTAGTTTTTCCCCCTTCAAAGGCAGGGAAGCTATTCCTGAGACTTGGTTAATTTCATCAGTTTGGACCAATGATTTGACTTCTTAGTCCCCTGGGGCAGAGGTGTCAAACACTAGGCAGGCTGAATTAGTCCCAAGTGGGGCCTGAACCAAATTAAAATGCAATTGGAAACATTTAACAAATGAATAAAAATACAAGAGAAGATAGATAATGTTAATATGTGGTTTTCCAAGTCAATATGTGGCCCCCTTTCTATTTGAGTTTGAGACCACTGATCCTGGGCATAAAAAGCCAGCCCAATGAGGGGTCAGTATTCCTCAGACCTGGCCAACATAACACTGCCATGCAAGCCATCACATCCTTCTAACCAGACATGATTTCATCTGGAGACTAGTTCTACATGAAGGAGTGCTATGTCCTTAATGACTCTCCTTTCCATTCTATGAATAAGTAAAGCTCCTTGTCTTATCTGTTAAATGTTATCATTTCATTCCAATCCTGGGAAGGAAGTACCAAACTGGCCTGAATCAGGCCTAACCTACAACAGTCCCCAACTCCCACAAAGGTCCAAAATGTATTCAATAAACTTCATGTATAGGATAACTTTTATTTCATCCCACAGAAGGTGCATAAGATGCAAAAGATTCATAGGAACCCACGAATAGATACAGAAATATGAAGTGTTCAAACAACCCATGCAACCCTCCTAGAAAGTGAGTATACTTTGGAGAAAAAAACAATCTTCTCTCACAATTGATCTGAACCACATTGTCTAAGCAGCCCATGGTAGTAGTCGGGGTTGGCAAGTTCCAGATCTCCTGGACCTCATAATGTGGCTCTAGTCCTCCAGTTATAAGGGCTGCAATGACAACTGTCTTCATTCTTGAAGAATTCTGCTCCCTCTTGGAAGCTATTTCCTAGTTCTCAAACTCAGAAACTTTCAAAGTTTTGATCACCTATGATATAATTCCCAGGGATTGGAAGAAGACTTTACCTTGAAAGAGTGGAAACCTGAGACCTGTGGATTTGGAGACTTTGGCACAACTGTATATTGCCTAGTTGTGGCTTAGCCTGTACAAATGTGGATTTTGACTTCTCCCTGTAAGATAAAATTGAGTTATTTTACACAAGAGACAGTGCTTTGGATTAGTAGGGACGGTCAAGACCAGACCTCTGAGTGGGTCTGAGAGACTTCTCAGAGGTGGGTCACCAGACGAGCTCAGAACTTGTACCCCATCTGATGTTGGGATGATCTAACTGTAGGAGAAAGGTTCTATGTTTCCTTTTCCTTACACTGCCATCTACTGCCTGAGAAGCGGAAATTCCTCAGAGCCCAGTCAAGGGATAAGATGTAGGAATGTGTTGCAGATGGGCTTAAGGAAACTGCTTTTGCTGAAACAATGTAACTCTGCCTCAGAGTCCAGACAAAGAAGGATACCTGGAAAAGCTCTGCAGGCTTAGGGTTTCTGTTTGGTTAAAAGGATTTGACACTATCTCTACAGCCCAGAGGAGCGATAGTACCCTGCAGCTAACAGGGAAGTGGCCTCACCCGTTAGGGGGTGACCTCACCAATTAGTGGATAATTACGCAGACTTTTCGTGATAGAAACAAAGGATGCTAAGGACTATATATATAATCTAGAATTGAGACTTGCCCCAGGCATGTCTCCATACTTGTTCAGTCATTTTTCAATCGAGTCCTACTCTTTGTGACCCCATTTGGGGTTTTCTTGGCAAAGATATTGGAGCTGTTTGCCATTTCCTTCTTCAGCTCATTTTACAGATGAGGAAACTAAGGCAAACACAGTTAAGTGACTTACTCAGGGTCACACAGCTAGTAAGTGTCAGAGGCTGGATTTGGATGAAGGTCTTCCTGATGCCAGGCCTGGCACTCTGTCCACTGTGCCACCTAGCTGCCCTCCATACTATGGTTTTATACATTTGTGCCCACTTTTCCCAACAGACACTTTGCCCATTAATGGGAGAACGTGTTCCAGATTTATGGTAGAATGTCATATTTTAATTATTCTTGCTTCGTAATTGCGTTTAGTAAATGTTTCTGGTTAAAAGTTAATGGTAGCATTTTGGCTGATTTAGTAGACTAAGCCAGTTGGGGCTCAGGAGCTATAGTTGTTAGGAGTAGAAATATGACTCTCTCGCACCAGGGTTACCCCTATGATATTGAGTTGGATGCAACAATGTGGCTGTTGTCTCTAGGAACCCCTCCCCCCCTTCCCCCTGCCTCCAGTCAGACCTGTTAGCTTTGGTGAAAGTTGGGTCAGTGAGCCAACCTAAAAAGAGACTTAGAGAGAAGAGCGGTAAGGGTAGGCGCCATGCCTACACCCACACTAACTACATAAATGAATCAAGCACATACAAAGGCCCTTAAGTAAATAGCCATCTAAAGGAAATCATGGTAAATCCTTTTGTAAAATAAAGCATTCCTCTACCCCTACCTGCCATTTTTCATGTAAAGCCAGATTGTCATATAGTGGGATTCTTGCAAAGAAAAAGAAAAAGTTCCAGTCCACATTATCTTGAATCTGTAATGGTAATAACTTTGTTTTTCTATAGCATTCCACACTTTTCAAAGTCCTTTCATATCCATTATTCCATTAGATCTACCCAACGATTCATTGAGGGCATCAGATAATTAACTACTCCATAGATGAAGGAATGGGGCCTTAGGGTGGTTAAGTGACTTACCTGCCTAAAGTCATAGAACTGGTGAGCTATAGATAGACAAGTGAATGTCGTGTCACCCCATTCTTCTTTGGCATCTTTGAAGGTTACCTGTGGGCAGATGGACCAAATCCAGATTGATTCAGGTCAAGAGCCAAATGAATTCATGGAGGACGACATGTTTGACCAGATGCAACCACAGCATTTCTCATTAGAGGCCAGAAGCAGCTGCCTCAAACCCGCAGGAGCCTGGCAGCAGAGAGCCCTAGCAGAGAATTAATTTACCTTGAAATTCTTTAGTGGCTTCTTAGCAACACTGAGAGGCCTTTTTGAAAGCAATGCCCCTGATTCCATCATTTAGGGCTTTTTGCCTTGATACAACTCCATAGGCTCCATCACTTTTGATTTAATTAAATTCGGTAATTATTTATTAAGCACCTACTATATGCCAGGTACCGTGCTGGGCACTGGCTACATAAATACAACAAATGAAACAATGCTTACCTGCAAGGACTTGACATTCTAGTAGGAGAGGCAACAAGGATAAATATGCATATATAGGCCTCCCTCCTTTCCCCTCCCTATTTTTGTCTCTCTCTGTCTCTGTCTCTCTCGTTCCCTCTCTCTGTCTGTCTTTCCTTTCTCTCTATCTACATCTCTTTGCTTTTGTCTTTCTCTCTGGCCATGGAATCAGAAAGATTCATCTTCCTGAGTCCAAATGTGGCCTCAGACACTGACTAGCTGTGTGACCTTGTGCAAGTTACTTAGCCCTGTTTGCCTCAGTTTCCTCATCTGTAAAATTAACTGGAGAAGGAAATGGCAACCCACTCCAGTATCTTTACCAAGAAAACCCAAATAGGGTCATGAAGAGTTGGATATGACTGAAAAACAACAACAAAAGACAAAGTCCGGTGGAGATGTCAGCACATGCAGCCTGGACGGGAATGAAGACGCTTTCAGTCTGGGCCTCCTCCTTAATCTGGAAAGAGCGAGTCAATCAGAAGGTTAGGCACCAGCAGTTGGGGCAATCAGGAAAGGCTTCATGTAGAAAGTGGTGTTTTGGGCCAAAAAGAAAGAGGAGAATTCTATGAGGTGTAGGTAAGGTAAGAGAGCTTTCCAGGCACGGGGGGCAGCCCCTGCAAAGGCATCAAACATCATGGGTGAGGAACAGAGAGAAAACTAGTTTGGATGAATAATAATGAGCTTGCATATATGGTGCATTACAAACATCGTCTCATTTTATCCTCACAGCAACTCTTGGGAGGTATGTGCTATTATTATCTCAATTTTACAGATGAGGAAACTGAAGCAGACAGTGGTTAAGTGGTTTGCCCAGAGTCACACAGCTTAGTTGTCTGAGACTACATTTGAACACAGGTCTTCCTGTCTCTAGGCTACCACGGTGCCGGATTGTAGAGTGCATTTTAGTTGTTGTTGTTCAGTTGTGTCTGATGTTTTGTGATCCCATTTGGGGTTTTTTTTTTGGCAGAGATATCGGAGTTGTTTGCCATTTCCTTCTCCAGCTCATTTTACGGATGAGGAAATTGAAGCAAACAAAGTTAAATGATTTGCCCGGGGTCACACAGAGAGTAAGTGTCTGAGGCCAGACTTGAACTCAGGAAGAATTCAGACTTTATCCACTGTACCCCCTAGCTATTCAAACTTTGTCTACCAGGCCCCAGGCCTCAGACAAACTGAGACCTGGGAAAGATCTGCCCACCGTACAAGGAGACTGGAAAAATAAGTTAGGTCAAGGTTGTAAAGGGGGGATGATTGAAGATGCAGTCTGCTGGCGGATGTAAGAGAGGATGGGATCAAGGGCAGATGTAGAGCTCTTTGGGCAAAGGAGAAGGGCAAGCCTGGGGGAGAGGAGGAGAGAGTGGAGGATGGTATCAAAGGGTTTTGAGGATGTGCCAAGGAGTTGGGTGTCTCCCACCAATTTATAGAGGAATAAACCTAACCAACAACTTAGAGGCGGTACATGATGACTGTTCTAATGTGAAGAATTTCCCTCTTGTTGAAAAATTCCTTCCCACTGCCTACCACAGCATTAAAAATTCCACCATGCATTAACTCAATCTTTTGGGTTAAGACATCATATGCCCCTATTAAGTCATTATCAGCCATTATCACTTAATCATGGGTTAATTTATAAGATTAGTCCTCGTAGAGAATGAGGAATCCTGACAGAATATAAATTGTAACAAATTTTGATAAGGAGAGATATCAGGAAAGGACAATAAAATGGATTCATGCCCAGGCAGGGTGCCTGAAAGATGTCCAGAAGGATAAAGGGAATCTAGCATTAGTTAGTGGAAATGGTGCTGAACTGGGAGGAGTCAGGAAATCTGGGTTTGAATCCAGGACCTGCCACTCTCTAGCTGGTAACTTTGAACATTTAAATTTCCTTCTCTGGGCCTCCCTTTCCCCCTAAGGAAAATGAGGAGGTTGGATAGCAAGATCATGAACTAATACAGACTAGAATGAGCAGAATCAGGAGAACAACATATGCAATGTCTCGTTGAGTTATTTCGGTTGTGCTTTACTCTTTGTGACCGCATTTGGGGTTTTCTTGGCAAAGATACAGGAGTGGTTTACCATTTCCTTCTCCAGCTCATTTTACAGATGAGGAAACTGAGGCAAACAGGGTTAGTGACTTGCACAGGGTCACACAGATTGTAAGTGGCTGAGGCCCAGATTTGGACTTAAGAAGATTCCTGAGTTTTCCCTATTGCAGACTGGGTGCTCTATGCACTATGGCACCACCTAGCTGCTCTTAAGGTAAATGAAAAGAACCTGAAAACAGAATCTTAGTGTTTGTGACTAGTTTTGACCCCAGAATAACAACGATATTCATCTCCTTCTTTTTGACAAAGAAGAGAGGGTCAAGGGTTGTGGAGTGTTACATACACTATTAGATATGGTAACTGTGTTGATTGGTTTTGCTTGATGATTTTTCTTTGTTACAAAGGAGGTGCTCATTGGGAGTATATAAGGCATTCTATGTCATATATACATATATAATATCAATTAAATAATTAGTTGAATATTAATTAAAATTGATATTATATATGACTATAATGTAAAAAGAAAAGGCAGCATTAATTTTTTAAAATGAGGATGTTGGATTCAAGTGTCATCTCTAAAGATCCTGCCAGTTTTATCATTCTATGACTAAAAAATAAAAATTGAGAAAGGAAGAACACTGTTGATCTCATGAGCTCCCATGAGTTCAATTATCATCTCTGTCCAGATGACTCCCAAGTCTATATGCACAGCCCTAATCTCTCTTCTGAACCAGCTGCCTGCTAGGCTCCTCCAAGTTGGTATTTCCTGGTCATCTTCAATATAATACATCCGAAATGGATCTCATATTTCCTGCCAAACCCATCTCTTCTCCAAACACCCCTTTTCTGTCGAGAGACCCATCACCTTCATTTACAGCCCTGGCCTCCTGGGCTGTCCTCAGCCCCTCCCACATCTTATCAGTGGTCCACTGTCCTCCCCTATCTCTCTTCCCTTCTGTCTTCTTCTTTCTGATCAAACAACCGCCCAGGTCCTCATCGTCTCTGGCCTAGATTATTGAAAGAACCTCCTAAGTGATATCCCTGCCCCCAGCCTCTACTCTGATCCATCCTCCCCTTAGCTACCAAATTAAGATTCCTAAAACTTAGATCTAACCATGTTGCTCTTCTTCTCAAAAATCTTCAATTGTTCCCTATTGTATCCAAGATAAAATATAAAATTCTCAGACTGTCATTTTTTTTCATTCTTCTTTTTTTTTTTTGTTAGACTGACATTTAAGGCCTTCTGCAGTCTGGTTTCCACCTACCCTTCTGAGCCATATTATTCACCTTCATGCATGCTCCATTTCAGTTACATTAGTTTGCAAGATATTCCCCTCATTTGATTCTCACAGCAACCCTGGGAGGTAGGTGCTATTATTATAAAGATGAGGAAACTGAGGCAGAGAAAGGTTAAGTGACTTGCTCAGGGTCTCACAGCTAGTAAGTGTCTGATGCCAGAAGTTCTTCTGAGGTTGGGTCTTTCTGCTGCTCTATCCACTGCATCACTCAATTACCCCTGAAATGACTTGAATGAATGACTACTTTGTACAATTTTGTATGTATCTGATATTTACTTACCTCACAGGGCTGCTATGAAATCAAGCTTGTAATATGCTTACTTTACACTTATTGTAACAACCCCCTCTGGGGTTACTCCCCAAACCTGCACTTGCACACAGAGGGGTGGCTGTTATCTTGGGTATTGAGAGAAATCCTATGGATGACTACCCTAACTACTGTAGCTCATGAGCCCTCATTTGTGTGCTTCCCAAGAACAATTATCCAATAGGTACAATTAACAATAGGTATATTTACTAAAATGGCACAGGAAAAAACCAGTAGCTTCAAAACATTCCCTTCTCCCTATAAACCTGGGGCACACTCTCCCACAAACATACGTAGCCTCTGTGGGAATAGTGGACTGAAATCTAGAGTTCAGTGATAATGAGGCACACGTATAGGATACATGTGTGGCAAAGGGAACTTAAGGTCCCTAGCACTGCAGGGATGGGATGACCTTTCCCTCCTCACAGTCCACATGTGGTTCCCTTTGGGTGCAGTGTTCTTGCTAGGTGGGTTATTTGGCTGGGTTCCCAGGGTCTATTCCTTTCCACAGCTGGTTCTCTTCTCTGCTTTAGAGGGTCTCATTCATTCCTTAATGATATTGCCTCCCTCAAAGGACTGCCTCTCTGCATTTGTGTCCACTTAGGAAAGTGTGACCTTGTGCCCTCATGGATGCAGCGTCTCTTACCATTGAGTAACTCCATTTCAAAGTGACAAGATCAAGAAGAGACACCCCATGAACATGTCTCCCTCAGGTACTGGGTTCCTCCTCCATGACTGGCTTGAACTGAGATACTCTCTAACACCTCAGGGCTTAACTATTTAAAATTCTCAGTTGTAAAATTAGTTTGGGGGGCTTAATCAATCAGGTTGTTTCCATCTGTCTCAATCAGAGAGATGTTCGTACCTTGTAAAGGGATCACTAAAAGGTAACTGTTAGGGGCAGCTAGGTGGCTCAGTGGATAGAGCTCTGGCCTTGGA